GTTACGTTTACGTTTCGTCGTCTAACTACTACTACTACCTACCCTAACGACTACTACTAGTACAGTACGTACGTCTACTAGTACGTAGTATACTCTACTATATACTATATATATATATATATATATATATATATATATATATATATAAGGTTGGTGACAACACTTATCTTGTAGAGAAAGAGTAGAGAGATTTATAGAAGACAACTTTAAAGTTAAACCCAACCAAGGCCATTAAGTACTAAAGTAAACATTTGGCAACTATTAGAATAATGAGAAATGACAAAATGGGCTCATCACCTATGGAAAGATAAACACCATTATGACAGCTAACGCTCAAGTATGCATCTGCTACATGGTTTTCCTCTCCAATGATATGAGAAGACAGACCAACCTATTGAATTCAAGACAGATAGGATTACCGAGAATCAAATAAGCAATCAAGGAATCAATACGCAGGACTGTAGAGTTTCAACCAAACACTGTGAATAAGATTCAGCGACGATCGCCTAATTCCCATCTATAGGAAGAGATGCCATCTGAGATACCCTTCGCCCAATGTGCATTAGATTTTCCATTGTTTTTTCCTAAGCTATGGTATTATTAAAAGTGGAACAAAGTGCACCAAAAAGGCATAGGTCATGAAGACAAGAAGGTGGACTCCCTGTGATAGTCCCAACCACGTATACAAGCACCATATCCTGGAGCATGCCACTATTAGCTAATCTATCTACTATAGCATTAGCATCTAATGTAGGGAGAAAATAATAAACAGAATAAAAAAATAAAATTAAAAAGGCTGGAAGATTATACCCTCTTTGGATCTACAACGAAGTCCATCCCAAGATCTTTTCACAAGATTAAAACACGTTTTTTATTATTCAATAACCATCTCTACCAAGAAGGGACATCTTCCTTTTACATACAAACTAAAAGGAATAACCAATAAATAAATAAGTAAAACAGAAAATCAAACTCTCTCTCTCTCTCTTATCTCTTAAAAACAAGTTTAGCATATCCTAACCACCATGCTAATCCCCCGTATCCATCTTTTGTTTAAAAAACAAAAAACTAAACTTCCAATTCTACCCCTTAAATCTCTACAACTAAAAAAGACAAGAATAACCCTAAAGAAATCTAAAAATCCAAGAAATATATTTTCTAAGGGGTGCAGTTGGCATACGGACGCCTCCGAAGGGTGTAGAGGTACGGTGCCCTTCAAAATTTATCATGGTATATAATTTTGATGTAAAATGTTATTAGGATTATCTCAAAATCTATTTTTATCTCTAATTATAAAATTTTAAATTTCAAAAAATGGTCAACATCAAGTAGATCTATAAACATATGAAAATCTGAAAAATGGACGGTGTAGATAATTTGCTGTAAAATGCACTATTTCTGAGACTTAAAATCTCTTTATTTTTCATAGTCATACATCTCGATGTCGAGGTGATCAATCAAAGGGTTTTTCAACATTAAAACCACCTTTTCCAATAGATTTTTTAGGGGCATCCGTAGTTCTACAGTATAAGGTAGCATCATTATATAAACTTTTTCCTTTTCTAAGCCCTAGAAAAAAATAAAAACTAAAAAATTTATATCCTTCAGAGGCCAATCGAATAATTGGTGATGTAATCCCACCATTCTTCTCGGTACTTTGTCTTAAATAAATCAATCATCAAATACTTTACGTGCAACTTGAAGTAGAACATTGGGATATGGAGCTTAATCTTGATTTCTGCTTCAAACTCATAGGGTTGGATTTCAAATACTACATCACGCATGTCTTCTACTTCATAATTGATTTTCAAAATTTCTTGCGCTTTTGGGTTATTGACATCATTGTTTGCATTGAGATCTACGTCTTCATGTTCTTGTTCTACTTCTTGTAATATACAACATCAACCTTGTAGATATTGTGGTATTACTCTGCAAAGGTTTTCCCTGGTCACTGAAATTGTTGATTCAATCGCTCAAGTATTTGATCAAATCAATCCAAACGCTCCATATGATATATGGATCTTTGATATCAAGTCTCTGACACCAACTAATGCGGGGAGAAAATAACAAACAGAATAAAAAAATAAAGTTAAAAAGATTTAGATATTATACCCGCCTTCTAGGGCCACAAAGCAGTCCATCCCAAGATCTTTTCACAAGATCAAAACACTTTTTTTATTCTCCAATAACTATATCTACAAAGGAGGGACATCTTCTTTTTAAATATAAATTAAAAAGAATAATAAATAAAAATAGAAAACTAAAGACTCTCTCTCTACCTTATCTATTAAAAACAAGTCTAACATATCCTAACCAACCCAACCATGCTAATCCTTATACATACCCATCTTTTCAAATAAATAACTAAACTAAACTTCCAATTCTACCCCTTAAATCTCTACAACTAAAAAAGACCCTAAAGAAACTAAAAATCCAAATAACATATTTTCTAAGTCCTAGATAAATATAAAAATTAAAAATTATTTTTTTGTTTGCATCACCATCCCTATGGACATGACAAAGAAATACATCTACATCAAAAAAGGAACTTGTTTTTCTTTCTACAGCCATTGAAAATTGCAATGTATGCGCTTAAACATGTTATGACTTCGTGTGCATCTAAAAAGAATGCCAGCAAGTATCATAAGCTCTCTATACTGCTTACTATGTACAAAATCAAGGACATATACATACATATATATCATGTAATATACCAATAAGCTAGACATATAACGTTGTGCAATTCATTAAATACATATGTATCATGTAATATACCAATAAGCTAGAAATATAACTTTGTGCAACTCTTTAATATTTTTTAAACCTCTTAAGGAGAAAGCAAAAGTAAATTGGAAAATTCAACTAGTTGACTTCCCAAAATGATCGCCAATGTAGTCTAGCGCAAGGCAGACAACTATGTCCCGTTCAACATTTTAAACATTGCTTTTCATGGCATCAAAAAATTTATTAAGTACATAAATCACTACATTAACACAGAATGCAACTGAAGAGGAAAGCACATCAATATGAGGAGTACCACAATATATGAGGTGTCAATACCATCAGCTTCTAGTTCAGCCAAAATTCGTTGCCCTTGAGCATCATTTGCAACCTGATGATAATAAATAAAAAATGAGTAAAATTCCATAACTCTATGGTCAAAACTTCACAAGAAACAAGGAATTCAACAAGTAGAATATCTAGCATTGAAAAATAACAAGTAGAATCCAAGAATGGTGATCAAAAATATATTTCATGATTAACGAAACGAGTATAAATCCATTAGGCCTTTCCAAAAGTATAAATTGAGAAAATTATCAGGGCTAGGTAATTCCAAAAATTTAGACATACGAGCATCAGTAACACACTAAAGCTAGGAGCTCTTCCTCTTTATGGTTTAGTTTCAATTCAAAGAAGTGATAACAAATTCGCCAGGTCGACTTGAGAATCACCTGATCCAACCTGCACTAGGACCATGGCAATTCCAGAGGAGACTACACATGCAAAATGGGGTTGCAGAGTGTAGATTCCTACTCATTAAGGAAACCACTCATGCATTACTTCTGCAGTCTGATGTCCCAGCAAACTTGTGGGCAGAAGTTGCTATGCTTGTATCTGATTAACAGAATTACTCCTGAAGTTCTTGCTGATAAGTCTCCTTTTGAATGTCCAACAAATCAACATCAGATTATTCTATAATTCATGTCTTTGTATGTGTTTATTTTTTGCTGTTGAATAATTCACAGAAAAAAAATAAAAAATTCAAAGCTTGCTCTATTTAATGTGTTCTTCTGGAGTATGGCACTACTCAAAAAGGTTATCATCACTATGATCCAAAAGCTGATAAACTATA